ATGCAAAATCCACTTGTTCATGTCTCTTCTTCATCAACATGTGTCCTATCTGTGGAAAGAGATTCTGAAAGTTTCAGAAAAAAAGATTCTCTCTCTTTTTGTCCTGATCCATTTATATAAANATCTCCTCCTAGAGCACCATTGAGTTCTTTGTAACCAAATGTCTCTCAGAGGGGCGTGGGGAGGGGCTCCTTATGTTCATCTAAAGTAACAGACAGAGAATCAGCACTTTGGAAACAGGGCTGAAACAGAGGGGATTATGGGTAATGCTGCAATGATCTGTTTGGTGTTTCAGCCAATCAGAGACAGGCTCTGTATATATCTGAGACCTGTAATATATTGATGAAAAACAGTATAATAGGGGAACTTTAAAGCAGTGTGGAGAAACTCCCTCTGGTAGGAACTTCGGGACACAAACCTATAACACTCGACAGGAAATGGAAAACTTAAAGAGCAGAATTAGGCCCCTTTCATTTTCATAAGCAGTTATGCAACTGAGGTTTCATCACAGTGATGATCTGCACCACCATATTTCAGAATATTTAACACTCCTACGTTCGGCCTGTGAGCAGAAACTGGTGTGATATAAAGGTCTAAAACATCTACCTCATTACAGCTTTATGACCCAGGACCCCCTGTCCCATCTGCCAGTTACTAAATCAATGTGGAATTTCAGCATCTATAATTCATTTGGGTTTGGAAAGATGTGATCAGGCTGAGGTCAAATGTCCATACTTCAGCTGTTCATATAGATTGGAGGAGTAGAAAGAAATTAGACCTGCAAAATTCACAGAGGTGTGCCAGAAGCTAAATCCTTATAAAACATTCTGTCATCCATTTGACTGAGCCATGACTCACTCTCTACGCTGCGTTAAAGAGGGTATTCTCCATCACATGCTGCTATATCTGTTTTTAAATTAAAAACCTTTCAAGCAGCATTCATCCTGCATCTCAAAATAAATAAATGATGTGTGTATTACTTATTCTAACGCGCTTCATCCTAGCTAATTGTTATGTTTGGTTAAAGATTTTGATTACCTTTGACCTATTTACATATAATTAAAACGCAATACATGATTGTCGCTAAAAGCCTTGTCTCTAATAGAAATGTTTCTTCTGCCCGTAAAGTGTCCAAACCGGGCTTTTCTGGATAAGCGCATTTTTAAAACATAGTCATTGTCCATGCTTCAGTTGGATTATTTGTCACAGTTGCTCCGATCAGATCGGTCTCCTCCATTTTGTAGATTATTTACGAATTTTGAATCCACATAAACACATCGGCAAAATCCGGCTTACTTTGAGCATGTGTTTTAAACAGTTTAATCCCTTTGTGAATTGTTTCCACTTCCGCCGTCCTTTAATTTCTTCATACAGCGGGAATCCAAATGAATGAATCCTGAGTCCAATAACCATCAAAGTCACTCCAATAGTGCTCCTTAATTACGCTTTCATCCTCCTTTAACAAAATACTTCACATTCATCCAGTTTGTGACAGTAGTTGTAGCATTTTTGAGACTTTTAAACTTTAATTATCGATTTCCCAAACTCACATTGGTTTCTCATACAGCATCTCTGTATAGTATGTGTATTAACTGGTATTCACTCTCTGTCCTAAACGGCTTGTTGGAGCTCCTTGTCGACCACAAGCCGCTCACGTTCGCCATGTCTAAAGTGGCGGAGCCTTGGTCGGCACGTCAGCAGCGGCAGCTTTCCTACATCTCGGAGTTCACCACAGACATTAAGCAAGTGGCTGGCAAGTCGAACCTGGTTGCAGATTGCCTCTCCAGAGTCGTCATCGGAGCTGTCCAGTTGGGCCTGGACTATACTCGCATGGCGGCGGACCAGGTCACAGACCCCGGCGTCCAGGCTCTGAAGGTGGAGGGCGCGGGGGTGCGCTTGGAGGACGTGGTGTTCGGCGACGCAGGCGTTACCCTCCTGTGTGACGTCTCCACGGGCCTGTCGTGGCCAGTCGTTCCCGCCAGCTGGAGGCGCTCTGTGTTCAAGGCAGTGCACGGACTGTCACACCCCGGCGTTAAGCCTTCGGGGAGGCTTGGTGGCCGCGAAGTTCGTCTGGCATGGGCTGAAAAAGAACGTGAGGACTTGGGCTGGTGAGTGCGTGGCTTGTTGGTGCGCCTACACGAAGGCCCCTTTGGAGCGTTTCCTGGTGCCTGAGAGGAGGTTTGACCACGTCAACATCGACCTGGTTGGTCCATTGCCCTCCTCTCTCAGTTTCGAGGCGTGTTTCACAGTGCAGGGCCTCACCATAGATCTGGAGGTCAGGAGCACTGTACATATGACTGGATATTCGGCTCCTTTTTCTTGGTGCCCAGCTCACTCATTGTGTATGTGAATCCTTCCAGACATGTTCCCTGCCTCTTGTGGTCATCTCCAATGTGAGCCAGCTGCCTGGGGGCTGGGTGTCCGTCATGTGGTATAACCTTCTGACTGATGAGCCCAGGGTGAGCTGACACACTGTTGCTGATGTGTTTAAAAGTGGATAGTGTTGCTACTATCCCTCAGTTACCAGTTAATTAAACCAATGTTGTCTAATACAACAGTCCTGCAATATTCTCTACCTTCATGAAGGTTCGGAATGTGTTAAACCCTTGTGTCTCACTTAACAGTCAAAATGACTAAATATGTGGTGGTTATGATCGGGACTAATGTTAAAAAACAGTACTCGGTGCCAGTAGAAAATAATATACACATGTAAGCTGTAGTGTAAGTATTTTGACACAGACTTTTTTGTCCTCTAAGGACCTTAGAGCTAAAAGGGTTAGGGTTAAACTGTTTTAGAAAGCAGTTGATTCATCTTTTATGATCATTTTTAGAGGATTTATTGTATGGTGCAGTTGAACAGGGCCCTCGACACACATCCCAACTACTCCACTTTTACCTTTTTCCCACCTCTTTCCTATAATCCACAGAACTTGGCGTTCTTTGGAAACCCCCCTCGGGCCACCTGGAGCCAGCTCTCTGAGGTCCTCAGCTGGCAATTCTCAACCTTCGCTGGTAAAGGCCTCAACAAGGAGCAGCTCAGCATGCTGGGAGGAAAGCTTCTCGGTATGTCTGCCCTACAGCTTTCAAACAACATATTTGTACTGTATATTTCGAAATCTAGATTTTGGGATAACACATGTTTCAGGTGGCATTTGAAGGGGCCCTTTTCTGATTTTGTGGTGTTCCCTCTCCTGTAGTGTGTTATATAGTTTATTGTGCATGTTAATGTTCTAGGCTAAAATCCCTGTGTTCCCTCTAGAGCGAGTTTCTCCCCCCCTGCCTAAAAAGCCTCCATTGGACTCCTTTGTTTACTTCCGTATATTGACATCACTATGTGTCACATCCTTTGTGATTGGCTAAGGGGCGGGACATCGCTATGCGGTTGACCAATCACAACAGAGCCGGCCAGCTAACCAATCAGAGCAGACTGGGCTCTGGTTTCAGACAGAGGGTGAAAAGAGGTGCTGCAGCATAGGCAGTATGAGAAAGATAAAGAGCTTTTTGAACATTAAAGCATGGAGACATGTCTCAGTAGAGACACTGAATACTAATATCAACCTGATATGATCAGAATAGCGCCCCCTTCATACTACACGAGTTAATGTTGGTATTATAGCTGTTAGTCTTTGCAGGCTCACGGGTGTTGGGTAGTAGTCATTCATGTTTTTTACTGTATGTTGCTGTAGGCCAGCATGCCTCCTGTAGTGACTATCAAGTATCCTGGTCCAAGTTGTCCAAGGTAAGTGTTCAATTCCTCATGTACCATGTGGTTTCATCTCCAATTTGGTTGTGCCAACTAGTGGCCAATGGGATAGAATTATCTGTGCCCCATGCTGTTTCGATGACCCTGGATCTTTTTCTACATTCCATTTCATATATGTTACATCTCTTAAGACATGTTTTAATTTCCAAAGAACTCATTGTACCCCTTCAATGTGTCGAACATTCTTTAAGGAGAATATTCCAGGAAAGCCATTCAGTTTCTGGATGTGGCTGGACTCCATCCTAGAGCTCATCAAGAAGCATTTGCTGCCAGTCTGGAATGAGAAGTAAGACCCTGGGTCACCCCAGACTCACTGTCAATCCCCCCCCCCTCCTCCCCCCAACTAAAAAGTGGTAGAAGAAGCAGGAAATAATATAGTTGTTATTTTCCCTTGTGCCATCCATACAGCTATATCATGGGTTTTGTGAGTAAAGAGATGGAGCGCACTCTGCTGAAGGACAAAGAGCCAGGCACATTCCTACTACGCTTCAGTGAGAGCCACCTTGGAGGAATAACTTTCACCTGGGTGGAGCACGGCGACAATGGTGAGAAGAAAACCCATGCGCTTAGCTCTTTAAAGTTTCTCTTACATAGTTCCTGTTTTCTTTATTGATGCTCCTCTATGCTAACACTGTCTTTTCACAACAGGAGAGGTTAAATTCAACTCTGTGGAGCCATACACCAAAAATCGGCTTAGCGCCCTACCATTTGCCGACATAATTCGAGACTACAAAGTGATCTCAGAGGGGGTGGTCCCAGAGAACCCGCTCAAGTTCCTCTACCCCGACATTCCCAAAGATGAAGCCTTCGGACGGCTTTACAACATTCAGCCAAGCAAAGGCAAGAGTGCAAACCATTCATGTTTCTCAGTGGTTGATTTAAATCACTAACACTAATCTCTCTCGCATCTCTCTTATCTTCCAGTCCATCCATACATAACATCTACCCTGATCCCAATCTCACAATTGCGGTGAGTTCATTAAGAGACTTATACATTTTTGATCATCAATTTTACCCTGATGTGTAGTTATCAGACTTAAGATGATGACTATGGGATATTGAGTGTGCTATCAATTCAACCAACAGCAGAATTACACAACTGAAAATGATCTAGAAAATGCTATAATATCACAGAAGCAGCCTCACTGTCTCTGGACTCACTCTGCCTTTCGCTGTGATTGCAGCTCTAATACCACCACCACACCCTCTTCCTGTCAGTCTCCTGAGCCCCCGATGACTCCTGGGGAGTTCGACATGCTCAGTGAGCACCTATGCTTCGACATTAACAGCGTAAGTTTGCCATTCTTTGCTATTTGGTGGACAGTACCTGTTGGGAAAATATTTTCCTGGGCCCATAACTTTGACTTAGTTTATCAGGCTATACTGTCCTGACTGAGCACAGGCAGCTGCAGCCTTGGGTGCTGTGCTCTCAGTGTTTTGTCTCTCTGTTCCTGCCTGTTGGCGTCAGCTAATAGAGGTGTTATGGTTCTATCTTGTTATGCACAATGTTGATTATTCTCTCAGAACTAGCTAGGGGGTAGAGATCTTCAGAATTGGTTTGGCATCCGCTGTGTCAACTCGTGGCACACGATATGTCTTGTGAATTCTTCACAAGACAAGTCTCTCTGAGTTTCGTCTCCAATGCTTCCGAAGTTTCCATCACAGTACCACTGTACTGTTTGTAAATCAAACCTATGAGAAGACCAACACCAACAATGCATTGATCCATTATGGACGTAGAAGTAGAGGTATCACGTTTGTACGAAAGCCTGATACATCTTCTTCCCCTGTGCTTTAATGCTCCAATGTTGTGCAAAACTTTAAAAAATACGCCGTCCTTGCGCTGAAATATTCACCAGCACGCCAAATATGTATTTGTATTATTCCATCCATCCATCTTCTCCCGCTTATCCGTGGTCGGGTCGCGGGGGTAGCAGTTCCAGCAGAGAGCCCCAAACTTTCTTTTCCCTGGCCACATCAACCAGCTCTGACTGGGGGATCGCAAGGCGCTCCCAGGCCAGAGAAGAGATATAATCCCTCCACCTGGTCCTAGGTCTACCCCTTGGTCTCTTCCCAGCTGGACGTGCCTGGAACACCTCCCTAGGGAAGCGCCCAGGTGGCATCCTTACTAGGTGCCCGAACCACCTCAACTGGCTCCTTTTGACGTGAAGTAGTAGCGGTTCAACTCCGAGTCCCTCCCGGATGACTGAACTTCTCACCTTATCCCTAAGGGAGATGCCAGCCACCCTGTGGAGAAAACCCATCTCGGCCGCTTGTCTCCGCGATCTCGTTCTTTCGGTCATGACCGAACCGATGATTTGTATTATTCAAAACTCATAATAGTCCCTAACCAAAGCACTATCTATATCAGGGGCGGCGCCAGGCGGTAGCTAGGAGTTGCTACGGCAACACCAACATTTGGCGTAGCAACTGCTAAGCAACCCCAAGAAATGTATGTTTTTTTTTATATATGTGAAATTCATAATTTGAAAATGTATTGATTCGAAAATGGTATGCTACAGTACAGTACAAGTACTTCTGGGTGTTTCAAGCTCGGCTCTGTGTGTGTGGCACGAGCGCACGAGTGAGCGAGCGAGAGAGAGAGCATCAGTACTGGAGATTGTTGTTAGCATCTGGTTAGCTAGCTACGCTAACGGATATTAGAAGCTGTTTCTACAACAAAGTGAAGGGAAAGTCCTCTCCTGTCAGATAACGTCAGCTCAGTGAGGTAAAGGAGTATATCTGTGTTTAGATAGATACATTTAGTCTAAGTTATTCAGTTATTCAGGTCTCAAACTGTCTGGTCTCCATTTATGTAAACAAGTATTTCGAAGGCACAACTTTATATGATCATTATAGTTTGAAAATAACAGAATAAATGAAAAACAGATATGAAATACTATATGACAGTAAAACAAGAATACAGTTTAAAAGGGGAGTGATTTGTAAAATATTCATAGAGAAAAAGTAAATCTGTTTACAGTTCTATTTCATATGGGTGTTGAGAGATGTATCCATAGATCTCTTCATTTTGCTCTCAAAGTGCACCAGATTGATGCTTTTAACTTCAATATTTAAAAAATAATCTTCCCGGGGGAGCAAGCCCCCGGACCCCCCTAGGACATTAGGTCCACCCTCCACTTATAAAAAACAGCACTTTACCCCTTCTTACACCTATATGCCCTGAGCTGATTATCGAGCCTTCATTAGCCGCGTTCACACCAGAGTACTTTTCCCACTTTAATTCCGATATAGTCAGACCCGGCGCCAGAACGAATCTAAAGGGAGGGCATATGATTTTCATGGGAGGGCACACAAAACCGTCACGTGCTGCGGGCCTGTGGCACAATATATATCAAACAGCAAAGCCAACAGCATTGCGTAAAGATGCACACTTATCGCAAATACATACACAAATAAAGGGCAATATAGAAACCACTTTTGAAACATTGTTTGCGTGGCAACACAAACACTGGTAAATCACGAGCAAGGCACACTGGTTAAGGATGGCAGCTTCCGCATCGTTGCACCCGGAGAGAAATAGTAGAGACGGAGACGATGAACTGTTTGGCCCTTCTTGGGCATGGTTTATTTTCCTATGCACTGTAGGTGCATCCTTTCGCTCAGCCGAGCCACAGCTTGTCAACCCTCCCGATTTTCGCGGGAGACTCCCGATTTCATTGCCCTCTCCCGGTTTCCTCCCGGGGTCATATTTCTCCCGCATTTCTGACATAATCAGATTTACTCGATACTGTTTCCACTCGGACTTTAATACAGCTACACCATTGTTTGGTTTCCATGGTAGCGCGTCTCTTTAGTAGCGCGAGCAACTGAGGCTGAGTAAAATATATCACAGAAAACAGAACAAGAATCGACAACTCTACCCTCTGCTCACTCCTTTCCTGTATTTGGGACCGTGCGAGATGATTGAAAAATATAAGATTTTGTTTCGACGTTACCCCACCAGTACAGAACCCACACGTTCCAGAAAAAGACATCCACCACGCTACGGACGGTGGAAGGCATCTTAAACACCGTGACCTAAAATGCGACGTAATAGTAAACACAGAATATTAGTATAAAGAGAGACAGTCACAATACAACAAACAACAATGAACACAAAATCAGTCAACACCTCGAACTGTAGAGCTAAGTGTATGTATAAATAAACACGCGCACACAGGTGAGCAAAAGGCTTAACGGTCCGTTACTCAAAGAGAACGAAATACAGAAGACGACCTACCTTCAACATAGAGCTATCCATCGTACACGATGGAATATAACAAGTTCAGATAATAGGAGACAAAAAACGCTAACTACTTTGCCGGAGTCGAGAGACAGCAACGGACTACAAAACGATAGACAAACAGATAGGGAGCAAAGAGGACACATACAAATTTATAATTTAACATCTCACCGGGTCACCAGACAGCAAAAAAACAAGTACACTGTTATTTGTGTTTAGTTCAACTGTCGGTCACTGAGTAACTTGTACCTACAACCAGGCCTTGCTAATATATTCTTTACAACCCAAATATCAATCCTAATACCAGAATCAGTACCCAAACGTCAGCGTCCTCACAAGACGCTACAATGACTAGAGGATTTCTACCTAGGCTGAAATCTCCAACTAGAACTGAGTAGTCAAGGGTAAGGGAAAACCCCCTCTCACACCGCTCGGATCAAGAATAAAAAGCCCACATGACTCGTACAACCTGGCGAACTCGCGCCCTACTTATGTCACCCTGTACAAAAATAGAAGATAGCTAAAAAATACCTTGATTCTAACCATGTGTCGAACGCCCACAACTACTAGAGTTTTGTGTAAAATTTCTTTCTGTTATTGGATCGAGTTATTTTTCGTAATTCAGGCTGAAATTCAATAAAGCGGTCTATGGTATCTAAGCCGATAAATGTTATCCTTAGTAAACAGGAAACCAGAAACCCCATAACCAAAACCCCCACAACCACCGACTAGAAATGTATCAGAAAATCTCTCTACCTCTAAATGTCACAAATACAAAAGCAGGAGCACCCCTCAAAACAAAAAGAGTAAGACAGATTAAAGTCCTTCACAACAACATCAGGATTTTCACACACAATATTGCTAGAGCAGTACAACTAACAGAGACGGTCAATCTTTACTCTACAACTCCGACAATACGACGTAGTCACACTAATTCACAACCCAGGAAAAAATTCACAACATTTATGACTCGCACCCCCGTTGCAACATCGAGAACAAAACTAGCTCTATTAAATCCAACTTACTCTAATGCTTGACCACCCGTTATATAGCAAGCTATTTGCCACAACCCCAGCACAACAGTTAGACAAAAGAATGAAACTTTTATACATACGATTATTGCGCACAAAACAAAGAAGATCGTGATATAAACACTTACTACTTATAAACACACGACTCACCATATAAAACATCGTTCGTGTCGTTCCTTACCGAATTTCTCTTATCACCAACGTGCTATCTCCCGAAGTCACTTAATTCTCTACGTTCCAGGCACAACATATGAATTAGCATCATCACAGTCTCCGTACGTCATAGTGTTATTATGTACCACAGAAAAAAATCTACATACACTCAAGCTCCATTACCATATATTTAACATTTTACACTCAACAGTATCTATCTTTTGTCTATGACCACAAAAATTCTTGTTAATCTTATATTTTTTCGTCATTTGTTATCCAAGTTCTATACATTAGCTTAAAATGGTGTTTTATTTGTGTCGGTTGTTCCTACATCTACAACTAGCCGTCACCCGTAGTCTACTATCTTTTGACGGCACCACATATAAAAATTATCACATCAACAAGGGACGCCAAGCGGAATGAGACTTATACCACTCTCAGTAGACATCCTTCTCACTTTTCCTCTATGTCAATGGGGTCGTCGTCTATCGTTATCCATCCATGACGCCCAGATCATTTGAACTACGCAACAAACGCCGTACCTAATAGCAACGGGCAGACGCCGCGAGTGAACCAAATTCTTTATGTAGAAATTCTTACATCTCTTAATCTCTGTATACACACAGTAAGACACTTTTGTTAGTAGTTGACGCGGCGTGTTGATCCACTCCGAGAAGTTTACAAGACGCTCTCATGCATCAGGGATATTCAAGTTCACATCTCAGTACCGTCTCGCGGTCAGTAAAACAGACTAAACCTCACGACACCCCCCTTGACCTGCAAAGTACTCTCCACGAGTTTGTAAAAATCAACACAAACAAAGTGCTAATTCCACTGAGACCACACAACCCAGGCGACTATCACGCCCCCTCTAGTGAGACGGAGTCGTGCGC